CTCCCATGCGGCCTGCCCCTCCCCCACGCACACCTCACCTGCCATTCCCCAACCTCACCCCCGCCACCCAATGTTGCAAATGGCTGTGACCTGTGTGCTCCGCACGGCCAGATGCATTTTTTTCCAGCAGTTACAAAAACCGCCATGGTTTGACAAACACCATGCGGGCGCACGAAGGGGCCCGTGTCACAGGGCCGCGGTTCGCCGCCGTGGTGGATTGCAAGATCCTTGGCCACCGGCCGCCTGCGCCCACACCGCTAAACCTGTGATTGCGCATGCCATCCAAAAGAGACCACATGGCACGAAAAGATTGTGAAGGAGTCACGCAACCCATGCGAGCCCGGCCGCACACACAAACAAACCGAGCAAACAAAAAGTAGAAACTGGAAACAAGCCTGGCGGCGCCGCCTAGTTCGTGTCCGCGGTCTTGAGCAGCTTCCGCTGCTTCTTGCTCTTCATCATCTTCTTGACAGTCGCCGCGTTGGTAATCTGGAGGTGCGCAGCGCCAGAGGGGGGAGCACATGATGAGGGGGTGGTTGCGGTAGACCTGAAACCTTGCTGAGAGCTGCGGCAGGTGCCCCAGCTAATGCGGCATGGGTGCCGCCGCGCGTCGACAAGCTCATGCATGTGCGCCTGTGTTTTGTGCCGAGCGGCAGCGCCCCTCACTGCCGGGGCCCCACCTTTTGCACGACCACGCTCTTGGCCTGGTTCTCCTTCTTGCGGATCTTCGCCGCCTCCCGCTGCTGCGCCTTGGCCTGCAGGGCGCACACGGGACGGGGGCAGCGGGTCAGACAGGGCGACCTGAACACACATGTGCTTTGCTTGCCGCCGACGCCTCGGGGCCCTCAGTCAAGCGCGCTCAGCCCTCCCCGCTGCGGGCGCCGTGACGCTGCCTCCCCCCTCCCTGGCCCCCGAAACACAGCAACGCACCTTGCGCTTGGCCTTGAGCGCGCCGACCGCGATCGCCTTCTGCTCCGACAGCACCTTCTTGGTGGCCTTCGCAGCCATCTTCTTCTCCCAGGTCGTGCCCACGATGGCGGACTTGTAAGTGCCGGCCTTGGTCCCTGGCCCCTTCCACACCTTGCCAGAAACCTGCAAGACAGACGGAAAACAAACAGGGCAAGGGAGGGGAGGGCCAGGGGCGGGTCAGCGTGCAGCCGCTTGCTGAGCAGCGGCGCCCACGGCCGCGCAGGAGAGGGCGCTCGGGCTGAGCCGGGGGTGTTGTGCTGGCATACACGTGCCCGCCCACGCGGCGCGCCTCACCGTGCGGTACGGCTCGCCCTCCACCCGCTGCCGCTTGGCGCCCGGCGCCGCCGCCGCGCCCGCGCCGCCGTCCGCGTCCATCGCCTCGGGCTGCTGCTGCTGCTGCTCCTCCATCACATCGTCCTGCGGCTCCTCTATTTTGCGTTTCCGGCTGGTCTTTATGGGGTTGACCTTGTACCCCTTGGGGCCGAGCGCGGCACCGCGCAGGTCTACAGGGTCCCCTAGCTCCTTGGACTCCTGCGCTGGCTCCCAGTTGTCGAACCGCCCCATCCTTGCATTGCAAAGCCAGGCGGGGGGCAGCCAGGAGGCGGCAGGGGTTGTTGAGAGGGGCCCCGATGTGCTTATGCAGCGGCGCAGCACCACAAGCGCGGCGGCCGAGCACCGTCGACGGCTGCGGACGCCACAAGTAAGGGCGACGCTGCAAACGAGGAGCGCGCATAAGCGCTACCTGATAGTTATTCCTTGTGCTAGTCTTGTTCCACACGTACTCAAACGCAAGATTATTGCAAAAGGCGGATTGCTGCAGGTCGAACCGTAGACGATGCCTGGTAAGATGCGTGAGTACTTCTACAATCTTTGTATGTACGTTTTCATAGTCGTCATTCAACAAGCAGGGGGCTGAGCACGGCTGCCCGAACGCCCGCCGCAATGTCTTTGATGCACTTGCTGCGCTGCGCACGCTTCGCAAAGCACCTGATGGCACTCAAGGGCTTACGCGCCTGCAATGTCTGCATATACCGCTAGTCAGACAACTTATTGCACATACGTATGCGTGCGCTATCATCCCTCCCTCCACAAACGCGGCTTGTGGTGTGGTGAGAGGTGCTGGGTACCGTTTTGCTGCGTTGTCGTCTAATGGTTTGTGCTGCTGGGAATCTGAGGACGCATCTTCCTGTCCATTAGCTGCACCTCAAATCCCAGCCCGTGGCTGCATACTCGGATGCGCCACAAACCCCGCCCCCGACCCACACCGGGGCGAAAACGAGGCCGCCACAAGCTTTACACAGACATGCGCAAGCGGCGTTGTCCCATGCCTCAGGCCGCGGCCTCGGCCACGGGGAACTCGAAGACGACATCCTGTTGGGTGGCAGCACATGGCAGCATGTTGCAGTCAGAAATGGCAGGTTGAGGGTCAGGGGGTGACCGCAGTGACTTTCATGAGCATCGGCTATAATGCATCGTTCAGGCGTTCCAAGGTATCTCGTGCTGCGCAGCTTCGTCACGCCAACCACCCAGGCAACCCTGCAGCTGCCTTGAGCGAACAAGGTTCTGCTGCAACGGATTTGCTCCCCCCTCCTCACTCCTGCTCACTCCCTCCAAACCCACCTTCCCGGTGAGCTTCTTGTACACGCCGGCAAAGGTGTCCACCTTGTACTCGGTGGTGTTGCGGTCCTTGGGGTCAAGGAACACCTAAACACAGGAGGCAGGGTTGCGGCAAGGGATGGGGCATGACGTAGGGCCCTTGGGCGGGCAGGGCACGCCAAACCCGGGCAGCATGATGGCCGCTAGCCCGGGCAGCAACGCAAGCCCTCCGCTCTAAGTGAGCGCCGCAGCTGGTAATGTAACGCTTACGTAACCCAGCCACCAGCTGTCCGCTGCAGTGACGCGCACTCCTGCAGGACCTGCAACACTACCGGCCTGTCGCCATGCGAGCGCCGCCACCCTGCTCCTTGCTGCCGGAGGCCGAACGCTGCGTGCCTGTGCGACTTCAACCCCCAGCCCTCAGCGACGGGCCCTTGCTTTGTTCTCTGAGCACCAGCGTTCCCATGGCCGCGCGCACCTTCAGGAGCTTGGAGCCGTCCACCCTGTAGCGGATGCGCTTGCCCACAATCTCCGTGGGGTACACGAGGTCCCCCAGGATGGCCTCGTGCACGGCCGTCAGCGTGCGGCTGCGGGGGCGCGAGTTGGACACGCCGCTGCTGCTGGGCGGCAGGATGCGGCGGTTGGCGACGATCACAACGTCCTTGCCGCTGAACTTCTTCTCGAGCTCGCGCACGAGCCGCTGCTGCACCTTGTGGAAGGCCTTAAGCAGGCGGAACGGCACCTGAGGGTGCGGTTTGCGGCGTGAGAAAGGGGTGGGGAGGTGGGGCACGTTTGAATTCCATCATCCCTTAAAAAGAGGGTTGGTGGGCCATGTGAGGGGGCCTTGGCTGCAGCATGTCTGCCACTTGCAATGCCAACATCGCCACTGCCGGGGAGCTGTGTGCGGCTGACGCGCACGTGGCGCCCCCGTGGGACACTGCATATATCGCATGTGCGGATCCGGCTGATGGGCTCGCCACAGCCGGTCCCTGTGGACGACTGCCGCGGCTTCTGCCGGGTGCGTAGCATTGCGCTGCCAGCAGCGTGCATTAGAGCACAAGCTGCCGCACGGTCACCAAAATCGCCACCACCTGACATAGCTATTTGACCACTGCTCGACGCGCTCTGGCAGTTGCTGTGGCGCAAATGACAATTGTTGCACCTCCTCTTGATGTTCATGGAAAAATAGTGCTCGCCAGACAATGCTGTTCCCTGATCCACATGAGCGGCGGCTGCGTGGCCGCAAAGAATGAATGCTGCTGTCCACCCTGCTGCTTCTGCCGGTCCTTCGCCCGCTGCAGCACAGCTCCATTCAAGCAGGGCGCGCACACCCTGCAGCCTTCATCACCTGCACAATGACGGCCTTCCTGCTGCCGCCCTGCACATCAATCTCCTTGGCGCCGGTGATGTACAGGTCGCGCAGGTCCGCCTTCAGCTCCGAGTTGGTCGCCTCCAGGTCGAACAGAGCCTGCATACCGCACCGCGGCCACTGTGGTTCAGCCACGACTGCCAGGGAAAGCGAGGCCCGAGCAGCAACATTTCGATCTGCTGCTGTGCGAGTCCGCCGCCTGAACGCCCTCGCACCTGCGCCACCTGCTCCTCAAAGTCATCGGGCTCCTGCCCCTTCTCCTTCACGATCTTCTTCTTGGCTGCAAGCGCCATGGTGCCTGCAGCCCAAGGAGCGAAGGCCAGGGCGCCACCGCCATGTTGCCGGGGGTGCTATAAAATCGAATAGAACACATTTCAACTGAACACAGCCTGAGCCACGAAAGCCGGCCGCCCAGAGGTCCGGGCACAGCAGCCGTCGGGCCCGCAAACCCAGCCGTCCAGCTTTGCGTACCTTGCACAAACACCACAGGTTAGCTACCAAGATGGCTGGCAGGAAAGGAACGAGGCTCGCTCGCGCGGCGGTCCAAGCACGCGTCGGTAATGCGCGGCAGTTCGGCGGGCGGTGCGCCAACGCGGCGCGCACGGGTGTGTTCATGTCGAGTAGGGTAGTGCACATGATGGACAAGCCTAGCAATGATGCGAAGACAGTACATTAGTGCATGGTTTTGATGTGGCTCAGCACAGGGACAATGCGAAAACGGTTTGAGTTCCGGTGATGTCTGTGCGCAGCCCATGCATGCAGCGAGTCTCTCATCGTGGTGTCGAGCAGCGGCGTCATATTGCCGGCATGACTATCAGGGAGGTGGACTTCAAACATTTGAAGCCACAAATTGTGTCCCACCGGACGGCTGTCCCACTGCCGCTGTTCAAGCATCACTGACTGCACTTTTCGGCGAGGCTAGTGGAGTCATCTGCATGGCATTCCCATCTGCCTTGCTCCCAAGGCTGAGTTTGAAAGCTTGAGACCGGAGTGCAAGAAGCGGGAACACTGGATGATACACCGCCGACCCTTGCAATGTTTGGCCACCCTTGTGAAGTGGACTATGTGTCACCTCGCAAGCCCCAGCACACAGTGCTCATGCCAGCAGCAGGCATTGGATGCGTAGGCAGCCCATTAATTGCCAGTTGAGACTTTGCTTCGTCGACCAGACCCTTGGGGCATGACTCACCGACTTTCCCCTAGGGGGGGCTCTTCTGGCCTCCGGGAATCGATTCTCGCGGAATGCCCCGCGACCTGAGCCAAAAGATGCGGCATATGATTCTTTGATTTTTAGGTACCTCGTAAAATAGCCACAAAAATCCTGGGCCGAGCGCGGGGCCGCGCGGACGGTGCAGCCATGGCGACCCCGCGAAAGCACGCATGTATGGCCTCTAAGACCGTTGGATTATACACAGAATGTATAACAACAATATATGGGCCGATCATAAAGGCGATTGGCCCTGCCAGGCGTGAGCGGGGCCCAGGTGTGGACACCAAGCCAGCGCACACAGCCTGCCGGGCCTCGTCGGCGTGTCGAATGCAATACGTGTTCGTATATGTATACCTTGCCGCGCTATCTGCGACGCGTGGCGCCATATGTGGGCCGGGAGCACCCCAGCGTCAACAGCGGCGACGACGCTGCGTGGCCAACTCACACAGCAGCGGTTTTCACTCGCTTGACGAGCGCCGATGCAGAGCTGGTACGAGCGCCTGAGATATGAACAAGGTTCCAGCAACTTCATATACTACATTCCCTCGTAGCATGCATGCATTGACGAGGGTTCGAGAACCGTGGGGCGCCCAGAGTGGTCAACACCGTAGACACCGCCCACGGCAGATGTGGCAAGCAGCAGTGTGCTCAAAGCGAATGGGGTGTCCCCGCCCATATCCGCTCCACCAACTGTATCAACATTTGCTCTGATGCCCTCGTGCCGGGCCTATGCTCCTAAGAAAAATGTACAATAGCAATCTAATACGATACGTGATACTGTCCACTGTTCGCTGCTGCATGCAGTGTGCTTCGCCTGGCAGAATCGCACTGCAGGGCACTCTGCCATAAACCGTTACAAGGCGCACCCAGCTCCAAACGCGCCCCGACAGTGTGGTGCGCTGTGCATTCGCCTCACTCGCACGCCTGATGCGACGAAGCCAGCTTGACACTACTTGACACCCTCAACTGGCCATCTCTATGGTTTCCAGTTGAGACTTTGCTTCGTCCGGCCGACGCTTGGGGCATGACTCACCGACTTGCCCCAAGGGGGGGCTCTCCTGGCCTCCGGGAATCGATTCTCGCGGAATGCCCCGCGACCTGCGCCAAAAGACGCGGCGTGTGATTTTATGATTTTTAGGTACCTCGTAAAATCGCCACAAAAATCCTGGGACGTGCGCGGGGCCGCGCGGACGGTGCAGCCAAGGCGACCCCTCGAAATCACGCATGTATGACCTCCAAGACCGGTGAGGAATAAAAATATTGTATAACAACAAAATAAAGGCCGATCACGAAGGCGGTACGCCCTGTCAGGCGTAAGCGGGGCCCAGGTGTGGGCACCAAGCCAGCGCACACCAGCCTCCCGGGCCTCGTCAGCGCGTCAAATGCGATACGTGTTTGTACATGCATACTTTGCTACGCTGCCACCGGCGCGGCGCGCCATATGCGGCCCAGGAGCACCCTAGCCTCATGGCCAACTCACACAGCAGCGATTTTGACTCGCTTGACGAGCGCCAATGCAGAGCCGGTGCGATTGCCTGGAAGATTGTTGTGCACAGGGTTCCAGCAACTATTAACATCTCATCATCTAACGCCCTCATGTCGGGCCTATGCTCCTAAGATGATGGTACAAATACCAATCTTGTACGGTATGTGATACCATACACGGTTCGCTGGTGCATGCGCGTGCTTCACCTGGCAGGACCGCACTGCAAGGCACTCTACCAATATACCTTTGTAAGGCGCACCGGGATCCAAACGGGCACCGACAGTGTGGTGTACTATGCATCCGCCTCACTCGCACCATTGATGTCGCCTGATGCGAAGAAGCCGGCTTGACACTACTTGACACTACTTGACACCCTCAACTGGCCATCTCTATGGCCAAAAATCCTGGGCCGAGCGCGGGGCCGCGCGGACGGTGCAGCCATGGCGACCCCGCGACAATACGACTTTATGGCCTCTCAGACCGGTGAATATTTAACATCATATATAACAACAATATATGGGCCGATCATGAAGGCGATTGGCCCTGTCAGGCGTGAGCGGGGCCCAGGTGTGGGCACCAAGCCAGCGCACACCAGCCTGCCGGGCGTCTTCGGCGTCTCGAATGCATACTTTGCCGCGTGTATGCATACTTTGCCGCGTTGCCACCCGCGTGCGGCGCCATATGCGGCCCGACAGCACCCGAGCATCGACAGCGTCGTGGTCAAGCAACTCACACAGCAGCGGTTTTGACTCGCTTGACGAGCGCCGATGCAGAGCTGGTGCGATTGCCTGGGATATGCACAAGGTTCCAGCACATATATGAACATCTCATCTGACACCCTGGTGCCGGGCCTATGCTCCCAAGATGATGGTACACTAGCAAGTGTGTCGGTATGTGATACAGTACCATACACGGCTCGCTGCTGCGTGCAGCATGCTTCACTTGGCAGGATTGCACTGCAGGGCACTCTGCCAAAGAACTGTTGCAAGGCGCACTCGGCTCCAAACGGGCCCCAACAGTGTGGCGTGCTCCGGTAGGCATCAGCCTCACTCGCACCACTGATAGATGTCGCCTGATGCGACGAAGCCAGCTTGACACTACTTGACACCCTCAACTGGCCATCTCTATGGTTGTCTTGTGCAGCAGGGGTTTGGCCACGATGGGCTGGACGACAACCATGTTGGGCAGGCACCTCCGGGTAGCCTCAGTTCAAATCTGCTGTTGCTATGCCGCGGGCAGGACAGCAGCACAGCCGCACACCGTTACGCTTGCTCATGCGGCCACCAGCCACTTGCATGGCACAAGCAGTGAGCCTGGCCATTGTTCGACGTGCCCAGGACACGCCGTACTCCGGCCGAGCAGCTGCCCATCCCCCACCATCCAGCCGCTGGCGGGGCCAGTGCAACCATGCGCAGCCTCATCTGGATGGTGCGGGATTAGCGTTGACTCTGGGGTTACCATTATCAGCAAAAACACAACCTCTCGTGCCTTGAACCTGCAAGCCGGTGATCTCTGCAGCCTGTGCCGAAGGATTGGTGCCTGCTCGCCTCGCGCATAGCGCAATCGAGGTGTTTTTTCTTTCGAGCCTCCGGGTACGTGGATCAGTGATACCGTTTCGCCCGACGGCATTGGCGCGCACAGAGTCCCTTCCCTTGTTCGTTTGGGTGTCTGCAGCGGTGTCAGAGAAGCGTGCCGGGTGTTCTTAGCCTGAGCACCGTGGAGTGCAATGCGGGTGGCCACGCAGCTACGGAGCGCCATGAAAGGCTGGCTCTGTCACTGCACCCAGTCGACACCCTGGAAGGCGGGGTTGCAGCATGACGCAAGCAATGCGGACCCGCACTCAACCGTGGTGCCCATTCGTACATCGGCCCCACACCGCGGTTGTGTGCTGCAGGCTTTTCTATCGCTCGGGGCCCGCGGGCAAGGGCCGTTGTCGACCGCACGCGCTTCAGCCGTGCTTGCTCGGCGCTTGGTAGCAACGGCGGCGGCGGCAGCAGGCCTGCCAGCTCGGCAAAATGTCGGCGGAAGGGTTCCTGACGATGACCATCATCGAGGCTAGCGGCAAGAACAAGGACGACAACTTTGTCTGGGACAGCGACAACTTTGAGGGCTTTGTCAAGGGTGAGTGCTGCGCTTCCTGGGAGGCTGGGACGGCAGAGGGCCTGCCGCCGTTGCGCGCCGTGCGCATGCTCGAGGCTCTCCTTGCACACACGTGGCTGATGAGGGTGGGCGAAGATGCAACGCTCGACGTCGCGGTTGCCATGGGGACGCCCGCCCCCCCCCCCCTCCGGTGCGACCTCGTCCACCCCTCTGCCCCCACACCGCCGCAGTGGAGCTGCGCGGGGGGCCCCGCAATGTCAAGGTGTCCACACGGCGGGCGCCAGTGCAGGGCAGCACCATCTTCTGGAACGAGCCGCTCGTCCTGTGGGTGCCGTGGCGGCGTTTTTGGGGGGCTCGCGCTTCTCCGCCACGTCCAGCAGTCGCACGCACAGGCGCCTGCGGCGTCTGGGAGGGGGCGGCTGCGCGTGGAGGCCGGTCTCGCGACACTGGCAGCCTGCGTGCGGTGGGGCCGCGGGCCCGGCGGCAAGGCGCGAGGGCGTCATGCAGAGCGCGCGCCGCGCGCCCTTGCGCCGGCCCGCGCACCTCAGCACTCTCTGGGCTGCCCGCGCGCCCCACGCACAGGGAGGTGCTGGAGCACGCCAACGAGCTGCGGGTCATGCTGTGCAAGGACAAGTTCACGCAGCTGCCAGACGGCTCCACCAAGCGCGGGACGCAGGTCCTCGCGGCGTGCGGTGCGCGCCCCTGCGGCCTAGCAGGCCCTGGCAGGGCCTGCAGGAGTGGCGGCTGCGCGAGGCGTGGCGACGCCTGCGGCGCGCCGGCGCATGCAACGCCGCAGGTCGCGGAGCAGTGCACCTGCGCGCCGTAAGGCTCCCTGACCTGCTCAACGGCCTAGCCCCCGTCTGCTTCGTGCGCTCTGATGTCTCCGCTGATGTCCCTTGCCCCCGCCGCCTCTCCGCTCCAAACCAAAGGCATCTACGTGAGCGACATCCTGGACGCTGTCCCGATCGACAAATACTTCGAGCTTTTCCGGCCCGGCGCTGGCGGCGAGGGCGGCTTCATCCGCCTGGGCCTGGACTTCAGTACCGACGCGCCGCCGCCCATGCCGGGTGCGTCGCGTTCGCGCACGCGTGCGAGCACCGGCACGCGCAACGCGCTCAGGATGGACGGGCGGCACGCAGCGGCTTGAGTGCTGTTGGACCGGGTTGGCTTGCACGATTGCCCCGGCGCCGAGTGCAGGGGGTTCGCACCCTTTGGTGTTGGCTAATTGCTGTGTGCACAGCGCCCCGGCCTAACCTGCTCGCCTGCGCGCTCTGCTGTGCACGCTGCCTCTCGCGCAGACGGCCAGCCCTTTGGAGCACCGCAGACCGCGGGCGGCGGCAAGGCAAAGCGGCGGTGAGTTTTGCGTGGAGTGCAGCGTTGCTGCAATCCGCATGCTGCTGCTGTGATTGCCTGCGAGACCCAGGGCTTGATCAGGGTGAGGGTGGCCCGGCAGTACTGCTGCTGTCTCTGCTCTGCCTGTGCTCACTGCCTTGTCTGCGTGCTGTCTTCTTCCCGGCGCTCGCAGGCGCGGCTGGGTCCTGCCTGTGGTTCTGCTCTTGGGTGCGGCGGCCGTCGGCGGCGGCGTCCTGGCTGCGCAGTTGCCCAAGGAGCAGCAGCAAAAGGACGACGGGAAGGGCAAGCCCAAGGCCAAGAAGTAAGAGGGGTCCAAAGCGCGCAAGGATGGGTGGTATTGCGGTTGCCCGCCCTGCGCTCAAGTGGCCGCTTAGTTGCCCTATGTTGGGTCTGGTCGGGCGCCTGCAGGCAAGTCCCGCAAAGGGACCTGGCTTTGCTGTAAGGTTGCCGGGTCTTTGCTTCAGTGACTGGCAAGTTGGAGGGCCGTCGCCAACGTCTTCACTGCTAGGCCGTCAGCTGGCTGTTGTGCTGCTGCAGGCAGGGCTCTAGTATGCGAGTGGGCGCGGCACGTATTGTAAAATTACATGGTCGTTTGATGCTGTCGGTGACGCAGCATCAGCCACAATGCGTGGGACGGGACGCGCTCGGAGTCAATGCGGCCTGGCGGCGAATTTGTCGCCGGTTTTTTGGTGAAGCCTTGGGCGGCAGGAGGCAGTGCCGTCCGCTCACATGTTGGCGGTGGGCTTATGACTACAATCGACATGCCAACATGCAGACAGCAGCGTTGGGTTTCAACGCAGCTTGCCCTTGCATTGATCGGGGGTGGAGCCAGCAGTTGGGCCGCGACAGCTGCAGGCACGAGGCTTTGAAAGAAGCGTATGCTGCCACGTGATGCTGCAGCTGCATGGTGATGAGTTCAGTGGCATGCAGGCCCAGGCAGCGGTGACCCCGCCGGTAGTGAAGGAGCGGGTGTTGTATTACTGTTGGCGCGTTGCAGTCGGCCGCTGTTTGGCGGTATACTTCATCAACTAGCCCCTTCCGAAGTCATTCCACATACGACGAGCCGATACATATCGTGTACAGGCTTGTACATGGTCTCGAACGCAATATGTGATCTCGGCAGATCCTGCTGACCGTCATCCCATGCTGTTGTGACCATGGAATTTTTGATACCACCATCACCCAATTGGTACGAACGACTGCCGCCGAGGCGCGCCAGATCGGATTTTGCCGACAAGTGCGTGCTAATTCAGCGACGGTGCACGCAGGTATGGGGCGCACTTGGTCACGATCGTGCCTGATTCGACCTTGCTGGTGTACGCGGCCCATAACCTCGCGACTGTCGTCGACCACCTGCAGCACCGAGTGCTGTGCTGTTTGGGGCCCCACCCCGCCAGGTACACAGCGAGGGGCCGGGAGTGATTTAGGGGCGGCTGGTGGTGGGTTCTCTGTCAGGAACCACAGCTTGAAAATGTATTGCATACACTCACCTTTGCCTTGAACAGCCAAAGCTGCGCCAGCTGTCGAACAAAGCCCCTTTGGCACTCCACAGGGTGACGGCGCTCGCCTCTGTGGCTGGCCGGCCGCAAGGGCCTGCGGTGCTGGTGGTGTGCGGCTGCGAAGACGGCACAGCGCGCGCCTGGGATGCCACGACGGGCGGCTGCGTCGGCAGCGCCAAGCGGCACCATAGGCAGGAGGTCACTGCGGCTGCTGCCCTTGCCGGGTATGTCATGGCAGGGGGGCCCACCCCATCCCCCATCTCAACACTCTCTTTTCAGAACTCAAATCCTCGCAGTGCATTCGTGGGCATAGCA